ATGATCTCCTAACTATATTCTGGCTAATGCTCATCACAACCTCATGAGGTATATGTTCTCACTTTATGTTACAGGTGTAAAACCTGATTTTCAGAGACCAAGGTCCCTTGCCAATGCCACATAGCTAGTAAGAGCAAAGGAGTAACTAGAACAGAGCTCCCTCTTCGAGTCAGTATTCTTTCTTCCACTTCACTCCATAAAAGGCTTGATGCCTTCCCCAGTTGGCTCTGCATTGATGGTCTTCATGCCCTTCTATTCTCCTGCATCAATGAAATGGGTAGATCTGACTCATCATTTACTCGCTCATGAAAACTAAGCTGATTTTATTCTTTTTGAGTATCATGTTCTCAAAGCTGGACATCTGGCAATTGTATGAAACAGTGATCACCACTCAGCTGAACAGCAAGGGAGCCATGTGGCTTTTATTCGGTTACTAATCCAAAACTTTGCTTGAATATTAATTTGATCATGGCTTCTCCGATGCTCAAATTAAGTAAGTGTACTAAAGATGAGACATATGCTGAAAATATGCTGACTAATGCAGCTCCTGGTTATTAAAGGGCACCCAGACACTCTTTGGTTGCTGGTTACCACCTGCAGCACATGGGAATGTATAGGTCTGCAGAGAACTAATTCATTGCCCTCTTCCCTCGCTTGCTTTCTTCCAGCTAAGCTATTAGAATTTTTCAAATCTGAGAATTGCCCGGATTCTGAGAAATCTCCACCAGAGAGGCAGCACAATAAAGGAACCAAGCCTAATCCCCACTGTGTCGCCAAAGCCTGTCAAACATTACCTCAAGCATTCATATAAGGCTGCCTTGTTGGAGGAAATTGGCGAGGGAATTGATGTCAGCTACCAGATGGTAATAACGGCAGACACAACGCACTGTTTATGGGGGCTTCTGAACACAGAGGGAACAAACACATATATTTTCCCAAAGGGCACATAGAATTTTAAGGTATGTGCAATGTAAAGCTTTGTTGCTCAGACAGAAGTGCTTAGATATGAGTGGATATCACATTTGAATTGTAGCTGCAAAAATATTAATAAGTAAGTTCATTAACTCTCTATGAACATAAGGAAAAGTGTTGACTAAGGTTTTTATGATGTGGAAAAATCTTTTAAAGTTTTAGGACTTTGCCTCTTTGGTTTCAACTGCATGAAAAATGACACACAATTTAGGAATATGCGAAAGCAAATTTTAAACCCAGCATGTATTCAAAATAGCGGCTATAACTTCTGCACTTGATTTCAAGAAAATTACATGCCTCATATTACTATACTCATAAAGCCCAGTGGGAAACTCTCTTGCCTTTTGCCAATGAGAAGGTCAGCTACCCAGTTTCTGGCAAGGGTATCTGTGCAGAGTTTTGGCTTTCTTCTCCCATCTGTCCAGAATACCCTGGCCTGGAAGTGGCAGCTCTGGATTGCCTACATAGGAGCAGCCCAGGGATGCATTCTGGTTGGAAAACGAGGTTAGAGGATCTGCCTCCAAGCTGTATTTACAAAGTAAGCATGTAGTTTTTACTAAATTGTATGTTCATTTGGATTTGGATTGGTGGCATAGACTAAGTCAACCTTGCTTTATTTCTGCCAGTGCTTTCAGGGAAACTTTTCTTACATCTGCATCACAATCCAAGAAATTGTAATAATTCCTTTTGCTTTTGAAGTCAGTTTTGAATAACTATAACAAGAATCAAGGTTCACTTGACCTAATCCTATCTTACCTCTTCGACCTGGCTGCCCACTACTCCCTGAACTATTTCCTCCCTGATCTCCATACATACTCTTGTCTCACATATACTGGAAAAGAAAGCACAAGATTTGAAGTCACAGAGAACTGGGCTTAAATCCTGTCTTTTCTATTTATACTCTTGGTGACCACAGAAAATGTAATCTCTTAGACTTCATATCCCAACTATGAAATGGGAATAATAATATGTGTCTTACAGAACTGTGATGAGTATTGAGATAATACTATCAAAGTACCTGATACAGTGCTTGGCTCCATAGTAGGCACCTAATAAATACTCATTGTCTTCCCTTTCCTTTGTCTCGTCATTTATTCTTACATTCCCATGAATGGTAAACTTAAGTTTAAAAGTTTACTCTCTTCCCTCACCCTATTGATTTGAGATGTCATCTTTATCGTATACTTAATTTCTATTTGCAATTGAGTCTACCTCTGAGTTTTCTATTCTGTTCCATTGCTCTGTTTTACCTAGTCAAGCACTAACACTACACTGATTTTATACCGGGTTTATGATATGATCTACTATCTGGAAAGACTATCCCCTTCTTTCATTGTTCGTATTTTTCTGGGGTTTTCTGCTATTCTTGCTTGTTTATTTATTTTAAAGAATGTTACCTCCAGAAAAATGGTGTTTTTATTTGAATTCAATTAAATTCATAAGTTTATAAATCAAGTAGGGAAGAACTGACGTCACCCCTTTATGAGCTTCAAATCTACTTTTTTGTTCTTCACGACTGATTTTTAGTCTTTCTCATAGAGCTTTAGAATATTTTTTATTAAGTTTATGTGTATATTTGTGAGTTTATTTCATCTTTGCTATTATAGGTGGGACCTTTTATTGTATCTTCAAACTAGTTTTTATTTATACATGTAAAAGCTATTACTTTTTACATATTGATTTTACAATCTACTATCTTATCAAATGATCCTATGATTTTTAGCAATTTTTCCATTGATTCTTTGAGTTTCCCACATATAAAATTATCTCATATGTAAATAGAGATAATTCCATCTCTTTCTTTTCACTTCATATATCTCTAAGTTTTCTCTTTATGATAGCATTGTCTGATACAATATGATAATAACGCTTAATTGCTGAGGAAATTCCATAGCTGGCATTTCTATCTTGTTCCTGACTTTAGAGAAAAAGCCTAGAAGTTTTCTAATACATAGGGTACTATATTTGCTATTGCACTGAGTCATTTGGAAAGTATATAATAATTCTTATAGTTTATTGAGTTTTTTTCTTACATTAATGAGTTTTGAATTTTATCAAATACTTCTGCACCTGGGGAGAAAAAAATATGATCTTTCTCCTTAGCTTGATTAGTATGATGAATTACGTTCAAAGACTTTCTAATATTTAACAAACTTTATATGTCTGGGAAGAGGAATCACTTAGGACGCAGTATTTTTTAATTTTGTCATTATAGTCTATTGGTTGATAGTCTAAGGTTTTTGCATGGATAGCCATAAGTGAGACTGGTTTATAGTTTTCTTTTTGGTGTAATGCTTTTCAAGTTTTGGTGTCAATTGTCTCCCTTCACAAAATAAATTTGGAAATTTGTCTTCTTTTCTGTGCTTTGGAATAGTGTAAGTAACATTAGTATTATCTGATCTTTAAAACTTTGATAGAATTCCCCACAAAACTGAGATCTGATCCCAGCGCTTATTTTGTGAGGAATACACAAAACTGTTTCCTCTTTGTCTTCTGGGGAGATTGGCCTGTTTAGACTTCTGTCTCTGCTTTGGATAATTTTGCTGCTACACATTTTTTAATACATTATTCATTTCAATTTAGGTTTTCAAATTTATATATAGACTTGTGTACAGTTAAGGTGAGCATAGAAATTATTTTCCAAATCAGGACATTCTTGAGAGCTACAGAGTGCGGTTGTTGGATGGAATGCTGAGAGCACAGGCAGCCACTGCTCTGTGGAGTGGGACTAATGGTCACTCAAAGCCAAAGTCATTTCTTCAGATTTGTTGAAAGTCCCAGATTGAGGTTATTTCTCCTTAATCATTTCCCCACCATGACTTTTTTTTTCTTTCATTAGGCTGGCTAATGAATTGTCTATTTAAATTTTATTCAAAGAAACAATTTTTTGTGTTTGTCTACTAATTCTAGTATTTTTGTTTTCTAACCCATTAAATTCTGCTTTTGTCTTACTAGTTCCTTCCTTTGGCTTTTTAAATTTTGCTTTGTTTTCTTCTAGCTTTTGGAGTTAGGAATTAATTATACACACACACACACAAGCACACATATATGTGTATTCTTTATATAGCATATATTTTTCCCTTTCAGTGCTTCAGCTGTACGTCTGATATGCAATGTTTTCATTTTTTTGTTTTTAAGAAATTCTCAATTTTGTTTAGTATTTCCCTTTTGACCTAGGAGCTGTGTGTGTGTGTGTGTGTGTGTGTGTATGTCTGTGTGTGTGTAATTTTTAAAACTATTATTATTTTTAATTCATTGTTAATTTTATTTCACTGGTGTCAGAGAATGCTCTTAGTGTTATTACTATTCCTGGGAATCTATTGAGGTTTTCTTTATGATCTAAAATATGGACAATTTTCCTGAATGTTCTGTGTGCCCTTGTAAAGAAAATGTAGTTTATATTGCCAGGATTTAGGATTGCGCTGGGTATATCTTAGACTCTGGTTGACATTATCTAGTCCCACCATTTTGTTCTGACCGTTGCGGACACCCTTGGCTTGGCTGCACTGGCGTATCTCTTGCTTTCTATCCTGGGCTTCTCGGCCATTGCCATGTGGAGCATCTGCAGGGGCCTACTTAGTCACTCTGGAGCATGTACAAAGCTGAAAGCATCACAGTATTAACAGGGCATTAACATGTTTGAAGGCAACTCTGGGAGATGGGAGCCAATGGTTACATACTCTCTTCCATGTCTCAGGTGGTAGATTCTGAGATATATTACACCCAGATCTTCAGGTGGATACCTTATCACCTGCTTTGCTGTAGATGCTGTCGGTGGGCTTAGATTGTGCTAATCTGTTGCCTATTTCCTTTCTTTCTCTTTTAGAAGTGGCTAACTTAGTGATAGTCAAAAATTTTATTTTCATTGCTGAAATTTTCCAACAGCTTTTCTTTATAAATTTAGCACACATTTTTAGCCCTAACCAATGTATTATTTTACATAATATTATTTATTTATTATATTTATTGCATTTATATGAATGCAATTAGATTGTTGGTATTCTGCTGCCATTGCCTTTCTTTTTCAGATTTCTATGATTCATTCCCAGTGATGTTTGCGGTTGTGTGTATCAGTAAAGGAGCAGCCAGAGAAACAGAAACCATTCTGCATATGAGACAAAAGAAATTTAATACAGGATGTTGGTGGCATGGAAGATGAAAGATCTGAGAAGCCCAGTGGGGGATGTTGGGGCAAGCCAGCTATTAGCAACAACACAAAGCCACCACCAACACTAAAGCTTGGGTGATTTCAAAGAGGGAGTTAATTCTGATGAAATCTACATTAGCCTCCAGGAGTAGGCTCTAGGTTGAGCCTCCAGAAATGACTCCCAGAAATCATAGAACTGACCTTTGCACAAATCTGGAAGAAGGGAATCAAAAGGCCAAGACTGCAACTATTGAATTCAAGGATGTACCACTGTAGCTATGATCCAAGATCAGGAAATCATGATTGCAAATTGGCTGCAGCCACCAAATCAACAACATCTTGACAGCTCTGAAGTTGGTGACCAAAGCCTGGCACAGAGCCCAGCTACTGCTGCCAGTGCACCAGTGCAACTGCCCCCTCCACCACTCAGGCAGGTGGGCAACCAGTGGGGCTCTCCATTGTCTTGCTTGATGCAGAAAACAGCCCAAAGTAGCAAGCTTAAGCCTTTTTGCCACCTTCTAAATCCCATGTAAGTATACCTAAAAGATGAGACCTAATTTGTATCAACATCCTTAGCTGCTGGGATGGTTGGAATTTTGTTTGTTTATTTGTTTGATTTTTGAGATCTCTGATCTTTTGGGAGACATATCAGAAGAAAGTGGAAATGGATTCTGAACATCAGTCAACTACATCTAGCACATTTTCTAAAACTTTCACAGGTTTGCCCTCCCATTTAAATCTTTAAGTCATCTGGCATTTACACTGTTAGAAAAGAATATTATTTTATTTTATTTTTCCATGTAGACAACTAATTGTACAAGTATCATTTCTTAAAAAGTCCATTCTTTCCCCACTGATCTGCAATGCTCTTTCTGTCATAAGTAAAGTGTCTGCATACATGTAGGTCTATTTCTGTATTCTCTATTCTGTTCCACTGTCCAATTTTTCTATCTCTATATCAACACATTGCATGGATTTATATATTTTTATATCTTTCTTGATATCTAGCAAGATATATTTCCTGATCATGATCTTCTTCAGAAGTGTTTTAGCTCTTCATTGGAATTTTTCTTTTCTTTTCTCATTTCTAACATTTTATTATGTAAATTTCCAAGCATATAGAAAAGTTGAAAGCATTTTACAGGAAATAGTCAAATACCTACTACTCAGGTTTTATCACGGCATTATATGTACTTTCTTTATTGCATATCTATCTCTTTATACATTCTTCTATCCTTCCATCAAAGCATATTATTTTTCAAGCATTTCAAAGCAGTTTGTAGATGACAATAGACAAAGCAAATGTATGATGATGAAAACAAATCAAAACAGTGATTGCCTCTGTAGGGTGGGCAGGGCTGATTGCGAAAGAACATGAAAGAACTTCTAAGGTAACTATAATGTTCCATATCTTGATAGTTTAAGTTGCACAGGTATATGCATTTGTGTGAAGTCACTGAATGGTTTATTTAAGATTTGTGCATTTTACTGTATATTTAAGACCAAAAAAAGTACACACATATTAAGCTTTTGTGAATGAAATGCATGCCCCAGCAAGTTTTTCTGAATTTTCTTTTCACTGCCCATGATGATGTTTACTACCTGCCCTTCTCCAGTTGGACTCCAATCATTTAAGGATCTGAAAGGCATTTTATCAGTTTAGAGTTTAATTAAAATTCACTCTCTGATATTATAATTTCATCAAAATCAAAATTCTTACTGGAAAATCCCTTGCTAGGGAATGAATATGTTTACCAATCAGTGATGTTGAGACAACCGAGTATCAATTTGGATTTTAAAAAAAAATTAGTTTCTACCTTATACCAGCATAAATTACAGATAGGTTAAAATAGGAAATGTAAAGAAAAAAGTAGCACCATAAAATTACCACAAGAAAATACAGGTGAATATTTTAAATCTTTCAATGTAAAAAAGAAATCTAATTAACTGAAATAGAGGTCATAAAAATGATAGCCTCTATAAAATTTTAAAACACATTAGAAAAATTCAAAACTTAGGATCAGTTTGCAATGTACAAAACAAATACAGAATCCCCTTAATCTATACTTAATATCTCAAATATTAAAGAGAGAGAGGCACACATCTTTCCCCTTCTAAGAGTCTGAAAATACAAACAGACAATGACCAGACCACATATAAAAAGAATTCTGACCCTCAACTTCTGCAGCAATCGAGCTTGGTCCAAATGGTAAGGACTTGGTCATGTCGGCTTCTCTAATTACACGTTCAACTTCATAAATCAACCAGAATCTTCATCTATAAATCATATAAAATCCCCTCCTTGTAGTTAGTCAGCCTCCAGCTTCCCTATGCCAACAGTTTGCAATTAGGGCATACCGAAACCTACTTTTTTTTCCCCACTGTATTAGTCCATTCACTGCTATGAAGAAATACCTGAGACTGTATAATTTATGAAGGAAAGAGGTTTAATTGACTCACAGTTCTGTGTGGCAGGGGAGGCCTCAGGAAACTTACATTCATGGTGCAAGGTGAAAGGAAAACAGGCACTTTGTTCACAGGGAAGCAGGAGAGGAAGAAGGGGGAGGCACAAGACACTTATCAAACAACCAGATATCATAAAAACTCACTCAGTATCACAAGAACAGCAAGGGGAAAATACTCCCCTATGATCCAGTTGCTTCCCACCAGGTCTCTCCGTCAACACGTGGGAATCATAATTTGAGATGAGATTTGAGTGGGGACACAGAGCCAAACCATATCACCCTCACTGTAAAGCTTTCCCATTCCCTTTACTGCCCTTGAGTCTCTGACAAACAGGAGTGATGATGGCTGACGGCCTTGCTATGGCAAGCTCTGAATGGAAAGTCTCAGCTTCTTTTCATTTGAATGGTCTTTATTTATTTCTACACTTCCCAAAATATACTTAATAGAAAAATGAGCAAATAATTTGAATATACAATTAAAAAATAAAAAAGGAAAAAGAAATCAGAGAAGGTCAAAAATGTATAACCTCATTACCATTCAGATAAATGCAAAACAAATTGATCAGATTTGCAAAGATTTAAATAAATGATAATGACTTAACATGGAGGGGCCGGGCGCGGTGGCTCAAGCCTAATCCCAGCACTTTGGGAGGCCGAGGTGGGCGGATCACGAGGTCAGGAGATCGAGACCACCCTGGCTAACACAGTGACACCCCATCTCTACTAAAAATACAAAAAATTAGTCGGGCGTGGTGGCAGTCGCCTGCCTGTAGTCCCAGCTACTCGGGAGGCTGAGCCAGGAGAATGGCGTGAACCTGGGAGGCGGAGCTTGCAGTGAGCTGAGATCAAGCCACTACACTCCAGCCTGGGCGACAGAGCAAGACTCTGCCTAAAAAAAAAAAAACATGGAGAGGGTATGGAGTAAGGTTGTTGTAGGTGAGGTTTTCTTTTATATGTATATTGAGAGGTGATATTTTAGTAACAGGAGAAGTTATTTATATATCAATATGGGCGATCAGCAGGATAGGAACACAATTTATAAGAATACAATACAGCCATGAAACAACATCCATAATAATGTTTTGAAAGGCCATATGATGTATTTTCTCTTTTTGGTAAAGTATACTTCCATCCATCTTGCCAAGCAGTTTTTCTGACATTCAGACTTGGCCGAGAGTCTGAGACTTTTGGCTCCAGGAAAGGGGAAGATGGACAGTGCTGAGAACAAAAAAGTCATAGTTCAGCTTTGAGCATTTTAAAGTCCCTATTAAGACAAAAATCATAAAAACAGGGCTTTAGGAAAGAAAAAGAATAGTTTTCTAGAAAATTCCCAAATGGGGTTTTCACAAATCAGGATCAATTGTTGAAGCCTGAAAGAACAGAAGTTATGCCAGAAGGGACATTTCCATTACACAAAAGACCTTGTGGGGCTAAGGGTAGGAAAAGCTAGGTGAGAGAGGAGGAAAAATTAATCTCATTTTTAGTGTGGGCTTTGTGCCCTGTTTCCGGTGTTCTATTAGATCTCTGGGATTCCCTGAGAGGTTTGACAATCCCAGAGCTCAGGGAATTTACAGCTTGCTTTCCATATGAGATTCTGGTTGATCATCTAGCAAAGTGTCTTGTGGCTATGTGGAATGGGCACAGCAGGAATGCCAGCATGGTGGACTTATGTGGAGAGGGCCTGAGACAGGGTCCCATGATTCCCCCTAGTCTGAGCATGGTGTAGAAGATAGCCAGACATTCCAGTGTACCCAGTTTGGAGGGGTGTGGTGGGGTGGGACATGCACAGCAGGTGACTGACAGCGAGAGCTAGTGGACCTATCAGGCTACTACCATGGCATAAAGCAATAAGTGATCACGGTGAGGTGCAATGTTACTTGGCAACAGGTGGTAATGAAGCAGGAAATTACCCTGACCCTTTCACAGGTGGGAACTGGAGTGCACAGGCACTGGCCTGGGCAAACTTCACTCACTCAGACTTGCTGTGCTCAACCCCTTGTGGGAGGGAGCACACAGGTAAGCAGGTGAAGGAGCCAGGGTGAGCACTTTTGGGTGCCATCAGGAACGAATCTGTGTTGGCCCCGTGGCATCACCTATGGGGATGCCTGCAACGCCTGAAGCACCAGAAGGAGTGTTCTAGTCAGTGCTCTTTTAGCTTTGCTGTCCATGGATGGCTTAAGTGTTAACAGCTCAGTGAAGGGTCAGTGTGACAGCCTTTTGCAGCCGCACTCAAGTTCCTGTCCAGTGTCCAGGAGGAATTAGGTTGCATGAACAAATTGGAGATGGCAAATGCAGGGGATTTTATTGCCAATGAAAGTGGCTCTCAGTGGGAAAGGGAGCTGAAAAGGGGATAGAGCGGAAAGGTAATCTTTCCCCAGAATCCGGCTGTACCCAGCCAGACTCCTCTTTGAAGCTATCCCATCAAACTGTCCCTCTGAAGTCAAGCTGCTTCTCTCTGACATTCAACCGTAGTCTCTGACCTCCAGCTGCTTCTCCTGTCTGCTGCCAGTGGATCCTGTAGTTTTTATGGGCACAGGATGGGAGGCAGAGTGGGCCATGGATGGTTTTGGAAAAGGCAACATTCAAGTGGGAAAATAGGAATGTATGTTCTCACTTTGGGCTACAGTTCCAACCTTGAGGGTTGGGCCCTTACCAGGAACCTACTCTCTTCTGCCCAGAATTTCCCTGTCTCCTGTCCCTATCAGTAAGATAGTGTCATACCAGTTCAGAGACAGGACTTGAGCTTAAAGTTCTAAAGCTACCTGCAAATCTACTTTAATGCATACTTCAACCTTTTTAGAATCCAAGCTATAATTGGGACAGGAATGAACAGTTAAAGGGATTAGGGGCACAACAAACTTCACAAGAGGATGCACAGCATTATGAAGGGTAGAACCTGGAAGAAAATTGCACTGAGACAGGAGCAGATTTAGAATTGATTAACAGGATCTGTAACCAGTGTGGGGGGCGGGGGGGATGGCTCAGTTTTATAGAGAAATGAACATGTGGTACAGTGGCATCTCCAATTTGAAAGTCTAAAATCCCAAATGCTCCAAAATCCTAA